GGGTTTTAAGTGATGTTTGTGACATTTTACTTAGCTGTACATATCCTTTTCATAAGTAATTTTTCTAATGTGGAAACTTTGAAAGTCTGTCACTAAACTATTTACTGTGTTACAGATTTATTGTTTGACAATGACAGGCAGCAATGTGCTAAAATGTCTTATCCGTCATTAGAAAAATAATACACAAAGTATGAAGAATGAACAGTTTAAAGAAAACAGTATTTACAAAATCTTTGATGACCTTTGCAAAGACTGATGTGATCTGTATCCAACTACAAGTTGTTGTGCTACAAGTGAAGGACTTCTAGTCATGGAGATAGTCATGTAATACCTCTTTGGTGATTAATTAAGCCTTCACCTCAATGTTTCTATTTCTCCATCTTTTGTTGGAGAAAAGTAAAACTTTCAGGCATTTCTATACATTTGAATTTGGAGTTTACTTAATCTTTACAAAACAACTTTACATTTTCACCATACTGAACAGTCATTTCATTTGGAAAGCTAGTGTCTGAAAGTGCTGCTTTTTTAGAAATTATATTGTAGAAATTTTTTGGCAGCCACTTTGCTGCCTAAAAAATACATAAGACATTGTGACAGATCTATTAAACCATAGACACAGGCCAAAATGTGAGTCCCCATGGTGTCCTGCATGTGCTGGACTCTTTGTAGGTTTTCTGACCAATTGAAGTGTCTATTTTAAGGATTACGAGCAACTGAAATCCTAGAATCACTCACACTGGGATAGAGGTGGGTGGTATTTTGGAAACCAAACTTACAAACAATTCCAACTTTTACAGGTGGCCCCCATCCCAATGCTGGTCTGCACCAAAACTGACACCAAAAGTGGGATCTGGATTTTATATTTAGGTCCACCTATATTTTAGAAAAATATCCTTTGTGTGGCTTCTACTTTTTTTTCTCTCTTCTTCATTTGCCTTTATATCCTTCAGAAATTCTCCGAAAGTTTATCTAGCCATGGTAGAAGTCCTGAAAAAGATTTCTTAGGGTTGTCATCCAGTGCTGGGAACTATGTTAACTAAGCTTCTCAGAGTGTAAAACTAAACAAAAGCATTTTCTGTTTAGTCCAGTGCTTCTGCACTGTTCAGATATATTATTCACAGGCTGTTAACAGGCAAACTTCTCAAAGTTTCCCAAATTATCTAAATTAATCTAAAAATATATCTTCTGATACAATTAAGTCATTACTGGAGGAAATTTATCTCATGTTCTGTAATCAAAAAGCAATAGTTACAACCAGGTTGGTGTAAAATGAAGCTGGTTAGCTGTATTATTATTATTTTATAAAAAATAAGTTAAAAAATAGTAATTTCTGCTTCAAAAATTGGAAAATCCTGAATTTATGACTTATGCAACATAATTTCCTGCCTCTTCTCTTGGGGAGGTTTTTTTAGATTTCTTGATATAGGTAATAAGTTTTAATATATCATAGAATCATAGAATGGTTTGGGTTGGAAAGGACCTTAAAGATCATCTAGTTCCATTCTCACCTGTCATTAGCAGGGACACCTTCCACTAGACCAGGTTGCTCAAAGCCCCGTTCAACCTGGCCTTGAACACTGCCAGAGATGGGGCAGCCACAACTTTTCTGAGCAACCTGTCCCAGTGCCTCAGCACCCTCATAGTGAAGAATTGTTTCTTAATATCTAATTCAAATCTCCCCTCTGTAAGCTTAAAGCCATTCCCCCTTGTCCTGTCACTACATGCCCTTGTAAAAGGTTTTTCTCCAGATATCTTGTAGTTCCCCTTCAAGTATTGGAAGACTGTAATAATATTCCACCCCCGAGCATGAAAATTATGTTGCAGAAATAAATTTTTAATTTATAGTTGAAAATCCAACAAGGTACTTAAAACCATTCTCAAAATACCACAGGATTTAGACGTACTTTGCAATTCCTCTCAACTCTTGTGTTTACCCTTAGGAATTTACTCATCTTTAACAATCTAGCTTTCTAGACTTGATGCCCTGCTTAGATTATGCTTCCTTTCGAAGATGAATGGCCCTAGTTAAAAGTCTGACATTTTTAGGGGACCTATCCTTTGCTAGCTCTTCAGATTTCTAATAATTCAAAAATCTTTATCACACCCAATGATATCTAGCAACCTTTACTTAATCAAACACTATCTTTTATCAATGCAAAATACATCTCAGTGTTAGACTGTTCCTTTTCTCCCTGCCATTAGTTATTTTGCATGCTTCCATGGCAGCATCCTGCATACCTTCTTTCCCAGCTAGTAATCCTGTATATTACAACTCTCTCTCGTCATATGGAAATTATTCAAGGTCTCTAATTATTTCCATTGTCCTTTTCTGGATCATTTCTATTTCTGCTACATCCTTTATGAAAGTAGATGTCTGAGATTTACCAAAGTATGAGGCAGAAGGAGTCTCACTGATTTATGTATCACATTTTGTTATTCTCTATCTCCCAATAAATACCAGTTCTCACAGCATATTTTATGTTTGGAACATTAGTCCACACATAAAGACTTGTGTAAGACTATCTAAAATTAATGTTTTTGGGCAAATGTAAAGTAGTTCCAAGGTACTTCCCAGCATGCATACTTTTACATCTTCAGCATATATTTGCACAGACTGAAGCTGATTAATTTTTGGTACAACCAGATGCTTTAATATTGTGCCTTCATTGGAGTCGTCTTGTGCTCCAGGATAATATTATTATTTTAACATAAGCTGTCTGGCTCCTTTTTCACAGAAAATAAGTGGAAACGTTTCTGCAATTATTTCTCTTCAAATAAAAATACCCAAGGAAAACTCTGAACATGATAATACACAAAAGGTAATGTGGTCCAAAGTAAAGAGTTTGAGTTAGACTACTAAAATTATATTTAGGCGTTTGATTTTGCTGAACATCTTCTCTTGCTTCCATGGTTCCTCAGTAAAATTTTGCTGAAAATTCTGGTTTTCAGGTACCTGAATTCATACCCAGGAGCCCAATTTGAGACATCTACTTCTGTATCCTCACTTGAAGCTTTTAAAAGAAGCAGCTGAGGATACGAAGTTTAGGAAAAATGTTAGTTTGTTTCATTTTTTTTCTTTGACTCAAATTCAAAACTGCCATAAAATCTTTCTAACCTTAAAAAGAACTTGCAGTGTTTCTCTGTATGAGAATAATATATCTTTCATTTTGATATTAATTTTAAAGTACTCCTGAGCTCTATTAGAACACTCTGAACACAGCTTTGCCAGGTTTCTTTGCCAAAAGACTGTAAAACATAATAAAGGATTTGCATTGCATCACAATGTTTCTCTATTGATATGAGAACAGCCTACTATGAAGGATGTTATTTAATTCAAAATGCTGGGCAACTATAACAGAATAAGCAGAAGGGAACATTTAGAATGAACATGATGGGAGAAAAATGTTTTTTAAAAGAAAGTGTTCTATTAACACAGGCCCAAGCTTGCAACAGTTCCAAAGAAAGAGATATAATCCTTGTCACTGGAGAAGTTTAGATTTAAGCCACACAAGTTGCATGGGAATATATAGTATAGAGCAAACCCACACTGCCTTGAGCTGAATAGCTTGAATGATCTAATACGTCTTCTGCCTTTTAAACAGAGTATTGAATAACGACACAGGTGACGAGGTTTTGACTGGGGGGACAGGGTTGTTGTTTGAGGACTTTGTTTGGGTTTTGTTTTGTTTTGGGGTTTTTTATTGGTGGGGTTTTTTTTTCTTTTTTCTTTTTTAGATAATTTATGGCACTTAGAGCTCTAGAATTACAATAAGCAAATACATTGGGCTTTTCGCACTGCTGGTGCTTAACCTTGCATACACCTCTTTCATCCACGCTTCCACACTCACTGAACGACTAGCACAAATCACACATCTACAGTTTCTCTCTAGGTTCCTTTCTCAGAAGGGTTTTGATGACTTTTTCCCAGATGGATATTATTTTATTTCCCTAACTTTCTTTCTCTCAGTATTTTTAACCCTCTGCATGCTATACCAGGCACAGATGTTAATCCCCTTTTAGTTATTTTTAACATATGCTTTTTCTCTCATAGTCTCCCTTACATTTCTTCTTCCCTCTCTTCTGTATGACTTTGCCTTGTTTTTGTGGTTACTGATTTGTTCTTTCCAGTGTCCCATTTCCATCCTTTACAGTGGCCTCCATTCATCCATTTCCCTTGACCAGTTCTGAAGAAAGGAATTTCTTTCCAGAGACATTCTACATTGTTTTTAGCATTTGAAAATTTCTATCCTACCTGAATTTATTTCTCAGTCTCTGTAAGAAAACTGTTTACTAAGAAAGGCAGAGTTGAGAATTGTACTAGCATCTTTGTTAACTTCTTTTTCAAAGGATGTTATTTTTATCTTTTGTGTTTGTAGTGTTCTTAATGCACCGAGAAACAAAGTCCAGCAAGGCAGAAGGAAGAAAAATGATCCCTTGTTATAAATAAAATCTCATTCAAGTGAAGAGATTAATCTTTCAGATGTCCACAGCACCATAAGTGCCTACATTCATGTTCATCAACATTATAACCTCTATACATAGGTATAAAGTTCAGGGTTACTTTCCTTTGTTTAGTACCATGTTCTCTCCACTGGTGGTAAAAGGAAGTCTAGAGTAAATTAGATATAGGCATCTGTAAACATCCAAGGTTGGTTGGATTACTCCCAGCAGAAGGAGATGCTCAGAGGAACAAATCAGTATTGCTAATGTGAAGTCAATGGAATTATGGCCTACAACAGCTATGGCCAAGGCTTAACAACTCAAAGATGTTAAATTAAAAAAAAAAAAAAAGATAAATATTGCTGATAGTACAAGGGCCAGCCTTAGCATTGTCCAAACCTTATTTGATTTGTGGGTTCTCATCAGCTATTTTGTTCTCAATTGAATTGTCTTTTTGTTCTTGGAACAAGCTCATTAAGCTTTGCTTTTCCAAAAATTCAGGACTTACTTCAGAAGAAATTTGCTAGAACTTCTAATGTTTTATAATGCTTTTTTCTTACCTCCTTCTTTAGAACAAAGGGTGATCAAAGTGTGAACTGTATCCATCAGTTCAAGCTGCTGTTTCTGCAGGACACTGTTATTGCTTGTTGCCTTGTTTAACTGCTTCTCTAGCTCCTGGATTATGTAGCTTTGTCGTGTGACCAAGCTCTGTAGGTTCTCTTTTTCTTCCTTCAAAGTGTCCAGCTCCTCTTTATGTCTTTCTTCCATTTCTAAAATTCTGTGCTCAAGTAAACTAAAATGTAATAAAACAATTAGATATTATTTCATTACAATATATTTATTAATACAAAAAACAAAACTTTTTTCTTTTTCACCATAGAGTTCAGTAATTAAAACATTTATTCTAAAAATGCCACATCCACTAATTCAGCCCACTGAGTTAATGAGCTAAATTAGATTTTCTCTATCAAGTAGCCAAATATAACTGATCTCTGAGGTTTCATGTCTAGTTGTTACACCCATCCAAGTACACGAGCATAGGGCCAATAATACTTTCATATGTACAAATTCAGGCAGAAAAGCCTAAGGTAGGCAAAGGAAAGAGAAGAGCAAAGCATTGAAGAGGACATCATTGGTAGTATGGGTGGGCTGATATAATAAGAGGCAGAAATCAAGGGTAAACTAAGGAAAACTTTGTGAAGGGCTTTGCCACTGAATGGAAGATAAGCATTAAGAGCTATGGAGTACCATCAAGAGAAACGGAACCCAAAACAAAAGTACCATTTGATGTGGTCTGTAATGTTAGGAAAGGAATTGTGTGACAAATGAGTGGTATCTGTTTCACATTATGAATAGTAATGTTTCCACAAAAGATAAATCAGAAGCTTGCATTTTAAGATAGGTTTAATGTCTTTTCCATTGTCCTGGGGTCAGGACCATGACATTCTTGTATCCACATACATATTTCTTTACTCCCTTCCCCCCACCTCCCCACTTTTTCCTGTTCCACAAAAGGCTCCTCAAAAACAAAACTGTTGGGTGTCATACTATGCAAGCTGCTTACATCAACTTTTATAAATAATTTTACACACATGTGGAAACACTTTCTCCTGATGAATATTCTTTTTCTAGTATGCTCTCTGTCCTGAGTCAGAAGAGTACAATTTACAAAGATCAAAGGCATATCAGATTATATCTAGAAGAATAGAGGAGCTGTACAGAAAGGATATTTAATATCTGTCAACAGTGAAGAAGAATTTTTTTCAGGACAGTGCTTTGATGCTGTGGTGAGAGTTTAGCAGAAATAATTTATTAATATTAGATAAAGAAACTAATTCAATCTCTTTGCTACTTTCTATTCAGTAATTCTACACTATGCACCAAGAGGTGTTTCTCATGCCCATAAACCAACTGGTGGTTACAAACTTGCCAACAAACTGCTTCCTGTGTAAGTCAGTCTTTGGTTTTATTTATTTATTTGCACTCTCCCCCCACTTTTGTTTTTACTTCTGGATAATAGATCAGTGGCAAAATGCCTGCATAATTTCAGGTCATTTAACCTAACTGAAGAATGTAATAAAATCCATATGGAGTTTTTAATACTAGATATCACAGAACCTTAATATGAGCTGTTACAAATGATAGCAATGCAAAGATTAAATTCAGGCCTTGGATTTGCTGTACAAGCTAGAGTAATATAAAACTTTTTTTTTTTTTTTTTAATAAAAGAAACCAAGCAGCAAATCTTTTTTCTGAAACATTATAAATGTGGGACTTAAAAAGGCACTGAAGAAAATATACTTTGTAATACCAACATACCCGGTTCTGTGAAAGCCAGCAGAATCTGGATAAAGGAGGGGAAAAAGAGAAGAAAGGGAGGGAAAACCTTTTTTTTGTGCAGTCCCAAATGCAAAGAGAAACATGATATCTCATTCTTAAAGACTCATTAATTAGCAACATAAGCATAACAAGATTCAGTGGACTGGAATGAAATGACAGAAAGTTTCAATCTGAAACAAAGTATGGATTTTGAAGTCAAAGACAATAAATTATTTTAACACCTTATGAGACCTGTAGCTGATTTTTTTTCATTACTTGAACTCTAACATTAAACATGATACCTTTAAGCTCTAGACTCACATTTATTTTTTTTTTCGAGAATATTTCTGTGAAAGTCTTTGAGCTTTTTTTATACAGAAGGTCAGACTAATTAGCTTAGTTAGAACCAGTTGAAAACGTTCTGATGGGACTGGTTGTAGTTATAAAATATTGTTAAAAAAAATAAAATGTTCTATGTGAATTTTACTGGTTCTGTTTACTTTTTCACAGAAATTATTGAAATGCTATTTTGACTTGATTTTAACTTTGCTGATAGATCCTAAATTGTATATTAATGCACTTTGATTAGGAACAAGGTAGGTCCTGCACACAGTTTGTGATAGAATGGGTGTTAGGTGTGACCACATCCCAATCTGACATTTTACAGTCCATCAAAAATGCTATGCTTTGCTAATGTAAGAGAAGATGCCATTCTTGAAGCCAGATTATTGCTTTATAGTCAAATACCAAGTGAAGGCAAAAAAGGTCTCTTTACCTTTCATGTAGTAGACCCTGGTATAGTACAGGCCATTTCCCTAATTCTACAACATCCTATTTGTACGTCCATGTCTAAATGATTTCCATATCTGAATGTTTTCATGTAAAAGAAAGAGCCTTTGATACCCACAATTTGTGCAGTTCATTATTTGTTTCCCACTGTGGCCTTCCTAAGACCATAGTAAATGAACCCATGGTGATGACAGTCTTATTTGTAGCAATACTGGACATGCCAAGTGAAAAAGGAAGAAGCTGACAATCTTTAGTACCTCCCAGTTTGCCGTCTACAGAGACAGACAGCAAGCAGATGTTTTACAGCTTTAATAATAATATATCGTGACATTTATGAGTGTTGTGTCACCAACATGTGGTGGAAAGTTGGTAGTGTCATAGCACTTGGTTCCTTTACAGTTTTCTATGTGAATTAAAAATCATGTTATAAAGTGCGAAACTAAGCTATTTAGAGGAATGCATATGCATTTATGCAATGATCTTTCTATATCCATAAATCTACAACAGATAAAAATAAGTCCTGAGGATAGGACCACTCCCTGTATGCCTGGAAGAAATCCAAAACATTCATTGTATTTCACGAGGAATCAGTGAGAAACCTTTGGTCAAAGCTCTAAATGAAGAAAAGCAAAAATTTCACATAGATAGAGGATTTCTGCATCGGCCTGTTCCAAAAGGAAGAAATCTTTGAACAGCATGAGAAAAGCTGCTCTTATGAGATTTGATTCCAATGTGGACAGAATTTTTAATTTCTGTCATAACATTCAAATTTATTATAGCTCATTTGAATTAAAAAAGCACTAGAAACCTCATAAAAAAATCTTGAAACAGGTTGAAAACAATTACAAAGATATTAGGATATTTTTTGAACAGTTGCCAGAGAACTCTGTTAGCTATTTTTTGCTTGTGACATTGGAAAAATTTCTAATAGAAATATACCATGAAGAAATAACTGAGTGCTTGGCAAAGATATTTACCCAATTTTTTATAGAGGCATTTTGAAGACAGGGTTAAAATGAAAATATTTCTTCTAGTTTCCATTAATGACTATTACTGCCATAAAATTTTAAAGAAAACAAAAAAGAAGGCTGTCTCTATACCAATTAATCCAATAATATGTGTAGGCTGACTAAAATTGTTATATAACATTCTTTCATGACATGTTCCAGTAAAATGTTATGGGCATGATATAATGACTGGTTCTTTTTTACAGTAAGTTTACTCTATGTTTCCTACACATTTGAAATTCCTATTTATTTCCTATCTATTTGAAAGTCCTGAATGTTTGAAAATAGTTACTGACCTAGACAGATGAAGTAGTCACAGGCATTACAATACTCACAATAAAAATAAATCACCATTAACTACAAACATCATATATATACCTATGTGTGTATGTATACACGCACCCATACACATACACATGAATGTGCGTTTTTTTAGAATTGTAGCTTTCACTTCGGGGAAACAAATTAAGCATGTGGGGAACAGAACAAAGCTGTGAAGAAACAGATGTTATTGTTAGCATGGATAAATATCAGTATTATCCACTGGACAATGACTCTTCGGAGTCGTTATCTAGAAGACAGTTAAATTAAAATCAAACATGCACACACACCCCCCAGGTCCAGACACCCTTAGTTTTGCTAAAGGTTTACCATGTCTCAGTGTCTAAACTACTGATCTTGGTAAGGCTGTACAAATATATATACACACAAAACCATACAAATGATGTGTTAACTTTGTCAGGCTATAAGCTGTTAGAATGCCTGGGTGCAACTGAGCTATGCCCAGGTGGTTCAGAAAAAGACCTCTGATAACGCTGGAGAGGGTAGAAGGCCCATACAGAAGACAAAGAATGACTTCCAGTGAAAGCTGTTGACTTTTTGAAAGGTGATGAAGTAGAACATATAGAAAGCACTCTGGTAGCTCTCTGGGGAGGAAGGAAAGTCTGGTTTAGACAATATGCCTTATAAGGTTGTAGTTTACTCACTAATCCATTCCAGACCACAGCAGTTTAAGGGATTTTTTTATCTTTGTTTTCAGAGGCCTCAGTTTAGACACGTGAGAACAGGATATAGACCAGATCTTAGAGATGGGCATCTTTTGCATGAAGATAATCTCTAAAAAAATCTGGATTTATTAAAGATTTAGATAAAAACACTTACTTTTTTGAGTAATTCAATAAAAACAACTAATGTGATAGTAGAAAAAAATTCTGTGGTTGTATACATGTGGTTTTCTTGTATTATTATGTATAAGGAAGTTCTCAGAGTGCCTCCAAGTCACAGAGTGGCTGCGCAATCAGTACTTTCTTTTCAGTTTCTGTATTTTAGTATTAGGAAAGGGATCTCTGGTTCTAGATCTATATTTTTTAACTCTTAAGACAGCATGTCACAGTTGCAGTTAAATGAAACTTGAACGGGGCTGGAGCACCTCCCGTATGAAGACAGGCTGAGAAAGTTGGGGCTGTTCAGCCTGGAGAAGAGAAGGCTGCGTGGAGACCTTATAGCAGCCTTCCAATATTTGAAGAGGGCCTACAAGGATGCTGGGGAGGGACCTTTCATTAGGGACTGTAGTGGTAGGACAAGGCATGATGGGTTCAAACGTAAATAGGGAAAGTTTAGATTAGATCTAAGGAAGAATTTCTTCACAGTGAGGGTGGTGAGGCACTAGAATAGGTTGGCCAAGGAAGCTGTGAATGCTCCAACCCTGGAGGTGTTCAAGGCCAGGTTGGACAGAGCCTTGGGTGACATAGTTTAGTGTGTGGTGTCCCTGCTCATGGCAGGGGGGTTGTAACTAGATGACCTTAAGGTCCTTTCCAACCCTAACTACTCTATGATTCTGTGATTCTATAAGAAGACAAACAGCTAGAGAATTTAAATGCTTACTTTTGAGTGCAAGAATGCTATTTTCTCATTGAGACAGCTTCTTTGTACTTTCTTTTATATGAGTGAAATTTTCTGTATGTTGTTAAGTATTGACCGGTCATTCTTACTTTGGTGGTCTGATATTCTATTCTGAGTTTAAGTAATTGTAAAAATATGTGTCCCCATATTCCTCAAGGCCAGTAACTGGTCACCTAACATCAGTAAGCCTATTTTTTTTTTTTATACCAGTGATAGTACCATTGAAATCACAAAAGTCAAGCAAAATATCTGGATTTATCTTTTTTAGTGCATGTGAAACCTGCAAACAAAACTAATCCATCTTTCACACAGTAAGATGGAAATTCAAGAATCATTGAGTCCTTGCTTCTCGTAGGATAAAACAGTTCTTGTACTGAATGTGTTAATGTAGTTAGATTGCCTGCATATTCATGTAGGATTTTATATTTAAATTTCATTTCCACTATATATTGCTAGAAGATGCAGAATTCCATCATAGTTTTCTCTTTTGTTTCATATTAGTAAATAAAAAGTTGTTTTCACACTTACATATTGAAACAAATGGCATACAATAAGTTAAATGCAGATGGTACACTCTGGGAAAAAAGAGGGGGTGATAAAGGCACTTTAGCAGGGGAATCTATGAAGAATAAATCAAAACAGTTTTTAAAAAACTCTTGTGGGAGAAAAACCAGCAATGGAAGAAACTACCATTTACGTTATAGTGGGTGGGAACCCACAAAACTAAATTATTTATGGCATGAGAGCACTTAATAGAAACATGATTCTGGGGCAAATGTGACTCTACTTATGCCACAGAATATCTTTCACTTCGGTGGGATAAATAGAAAAAAATTGGCCACTTTTCCCAGCAGAGGCAGGAAGTAAAGAGAAAGGCCAAGAACAGATATATCTCTTCTCTAAAGATCATACATTGGTCCCCTGTTGATATGCAGTGTTCATTTTCTTTAATGTACTGTGATACATCAACAATCAGTTATTATTACTGTAATATTTTGCTTTACTTTAATACAAAATCCATTTTTTGATAGCAATTAAGATTTTTTTTTTTAGTACAGAAAAAGAAATGATCTGCCTACATTACACTTTCTCTTTTGATTATTTTTGTGATGATAACAGTTCCTACACTCATTTCCACTGTGGTGTGAACCTACTGCAAAAGAAAGGCCCCTTCCAAACAAGCTTATAGTCAACGCAGGCAAAGTGGATAAAAGTTTTCTCTATTTTATTGATGTGAGAGTGATATTTAGAGGGACAAAGACATTTTAATTGTAAATAACTACTGAACATAGCCCGATCAGCAATCTACAAGTACTGTTTATAGCTAAGTCAAACTAAAACTAAAATCATTGTCATGTCCAGAAACGTAAGATCTGCCAAGATCATGAAGATGCGTCCCAGAGTGAACTTGATACACATATAATTGATTTCAGGATTGGGACCTAGGAGGCCAAGTCTAAGCATTTCTTTGTTAGGAGTAGATGATACAGGCAGCTGACTATCCATAATTTAGTGGAATCACAACACTGACCTCTCCCTAATTTTATCATTTTCAAGGAGGGAATATAGAACCTGGAAATGTATGCCAGGTTCTTGCTTCATAACAAGATGAAACTCAATGTGCTTTTTCATTTATCCATATACAAATATACTTCTAAGAGAAAGAATTAGGTATAAAATGTGCTTTTTAACATACCCCTCCTTTTCTTCTGAAAAAACAAGGTAGACCATTTTGTCATGTCATAGACCATTTCATCATAATGTCAGCCAAGTCAAAGGTCATCTTAAGTAAAACTTACTTGTTCACTGACATGAAGGTTTTACACCCTGACACATTGCTAAGATAAATAAGTAAATTCAAATTATTAAGTACACAAGACAGTCTTTTGAGCAGCCAGTAAAATTTTGTTGCTAACCAGATTGTAGAAGATAAAAATGCAAGTATTTATATACTTGACTAATGCTTGGGCTAATTCTAAATTGAAATAGATTTTTAAAATATGCAGAATGAACTGCCTCCTGCATGTGCCTACTCTTTCTGTAGAGTAACAGAAGAGCCCATATATGCACTTTAGGTGAATTACTTAATTTTGAGATGGCTGAAATTAATTCTGCAAGAATTTATTCATACTTTCATCTGGTCAAGGGAAATCTATGGAGTTCAAGACTTTTAAACGTAATCCAAATTCTCCAGAATAACATCTGTTGGAATTACTGGTTATACACAGTTGTTAAATACATTAAATTGGTTTTCATAACCAGTAGAAAAAATGGCATATTATTTGACCAATTTTGCAACTAGACATATCTAGCAAAAACATCTCTTATTATCGGTGTTTTCTATTTTTCATCATTATCCAACCATGAGACACAGCTGAGCTTGTCTGCCAAAGTGGCTGTGCCTTGGAGAAAACACGTTTAAGAAAGGGTAAAACCACTACATGACAGTGTGAGAAGCGAGGTAAAATAGTGAGAATAACAATGCTGCAGACACCAAGTTCAGAGAAGAAGGAGAGAAGGAGGTTCCCCTGCACCCATGGAGAGACCATAGTGGAGCAGGTATTTCCCATGGAGAACTTCACACTGGAAAAGGTGGAGATGTCCAGAAGGAAGCTTCAGCTTATGGATAGGCCACATTGGACAAATCTTATCCTGAAGGACAACAGCTTATGGGAAAGAGCCATGCTGGAGAAGGGAAAGAGCAAGAGGAAGGACCAGGTGAACTGACCACAACCCCTGTTCCTTCCACCTGCATTGCTCGAAGGCAGGGTGGTAGAAGAGTCAGGAGTGATTTTGAGCCTGGGAAGAAGGGGAGGTAGGGGTGAAAGTTTTTTTTGATTTGTTATTATTTCTAACCATCCTACACCATTATTAATTGGAAATAAGAAAATATGTTTTTCCCATGGCAGTACTGGTAGGTGATCTCTCTGTCTTTATTTCAACCACAAGATTTTTCATTATATTTTCTCCCTCTGTCCTGTTGATGAGGGGGAGTAAGAGAGCAGCTGGGTGGGCATCTGGCAGCCAGGCAAGGTCAACACATCACACACACTCTGAGATACTGGATTGTTAAATCCAGTAAGTTCAGGTAGAGTCCTGTGTCACAGAAGCACCTCTCCCAGTAAGGAACTCTCTCTGCAAGAGACATACTTCTCTGAAGCACAGAAAGGTACAACACTGGTACTTCTTCTTGACTCTCACTTCACTGTTTAAAAAGCTATGTTCTGATAAACAGTTTCTTCTTCAATTTCAACATAAACCCCAAATATTTACCATTCACTTATTCTTTATTCTTTAAATGGATCATGTCTCCAAGTATGCTATATATAAATGAGTTCAAAGAGAGAGATCCTTCCTTATATCAAAACTAGAAAGATGAACTTTAAGGTAGTTGATAAAATCATAATTTTATATTAGTATTTTTCTACCTGAAAATTCTCATACAAGTTATCCTTGTGCTTTTCAGTGGGAGGATCTGTGGCCATGTGACTAAGTTGTCATGAAGCAAACCAAGTTCTAAATTTACAGTTCACATGAAAAGTGGTAAAAATCAACTTACATTTATCATACATGAGCTAACACAGTGTATGTTCACACCCTAGCGCTTTTAGCCATTTCATAAATGTTACCTATACTTTCCAATTACCATATTTGCATCTTTCTTTTCTCAGTTTCTTAGAACGAAGTATGCACAAACCACTTTATGAGTGTAAGACACCAACTACTCGTTCTTACCTGTTTTTCTCATGAATTTTCAAGATTTCATGTGTCTGTTGTAGCAGCTGTTTTTCTAGCTTGTATGTTGACAGTGAATTTTCTAGTAGCTGAATTTCAAGTCTGGATGTTTGATTTAGCACCTTAAGGATAAATTAAAAACATTAGTGTTTATATTGTCCTGGTTATGTTTCCATAGCAACATAATGCAACCATTTCATTCTGATTTGATGATTCCTCAAAAATTGTTTCTAAATCCTTTTTTTAACCTCAGCTGCTCAGCTGGTGCAAATGAACTCACTCAGGCTACACTGATATGTACCAGCTGATATTCTGGCACCCTGTTTACTGTAGAATAATACTAGAGCGGCAGAAAAAGGAAAGGTGACTGCCAAATAAGCTTCATTTCAATGGAAGGAACATGAGGCATGCCTCAAACATGAATTCCAACAAAGCATGCTTCAACCAGAAGAGTGCAAGAGTACTTGGACCACAGCCAAAGTGTTGCATCCGCTATTTTGTAAATAGAGCTCCTACTTTAGCTTTCCCCTGAGGTCTCTCTTTTGCCATATTGGCAGAAGTCTGGTGTCTGCTTATGTTATCACAACTTGCACTCTTACACAGATTTTTAAGATGTGGGCTGTGATCCTAAACATTGCCTTATGCAATTGTCTTTCACTTTACTGGTGGTCTGTATCAATAGCCCCTTTTACTAAGTACATCAGACTGAAAGAGGCCTTTTAACTAGAAGAAAGAGAATAGAGTCTAACAAAAAATAGTTCAAAGGTGGAAATAGCACAATGTTTTCAAGAGCGAAAGCAACAATGTTAATTAATGTTAGCTGATTTTATTGGGTTGTTGTCATTCATTACACAGAGCCTGAAGCAGTGTGTGTTGGTTTTTGTAAAAATGTGTGCACAGAACTGAGATGTAATCACTTCTGGAACTGAAAAAGCTTCATCTTTAATGGAACCTATCAGACCTTTCTTGGAAGGATATTTATCAGTATCATCATAGGATTATATGGTAATATTTTCACATGCATGCTAGGTAAGAATTTGTTACAGAACATAAAGCAAACAGAATGGCTCTCAAACTCAGCCCAGTGCCTTATTTTTGTTCGAAATTGTTGACATTCACAAAGTAACTTGAGCTGGTCTTGTTTAAGGGTACAGAGGTTTTAAAAATTGGACATTGTGTGAAGCGGTTATGTTTTTCAAGATGGATACATCTGGAAACGTCAGGAGGCAGCACCACAGTTTCAGAAGAATGTGGCAGAAATTGAAACTGTATTACGAAGATTGGCAAGAAGACAGGAAACCACCGACAGATTTCTAAAGAGGAAGTGATTTTAGTGCTAGGGATCAATCCTATAGAGATGGCTCTTTATATTCATGTGACGTTATACAGTTTTACAGTAATAACAAATACACAGTGTTTTATAAAAGAACTGATGCTTGTCCCTCTTTCTTCATGGTTTAAAAGCTTCAGATATACACTACTTTTCAAATAACTGGAAACATCTTGCAGAAAATAAACAAACTTTCCTGTAACAGTAAAGAGGCAAACAACAACGGAGATCAAAGGCTCTGTTTTAGCCTGAAACTCTTTATTTAGCTTGACACTTGTATCATTCACAGTTGGTAGCTGGGCTGTTTATTTGAAGTCAAATGATGATTTAGTTTCCTGGACAGTCCTGCCTGCCTTATGCACACAGAGCTAAATACGCTAACCAAATGAAATCAGAAGACAGATGCACAACGATGGTCAGTCATCGCTGCTGCTGGTACCAAGAAACAGAGTGTGTATGTTTCTTGGAGCCATGTGTTGAAATGTTTTGTGTGGTGGTGTATTGGAATAGGAAGAGGATAATAAAAGCTTTTAGAAAACCACTCTGGGAACATACCTGGGTTTCAACATCCGTGAGTTTTCTTGTCTGTTCTGCTGTCTGGCTGAGGAGACTGGTCCCTATCTCGAGCATGGTGGCGGTGTGGTTCTGCACAGCATTCTGCTGCAGTTGCACCATCTCCGATTTCATGTTTTCCACAATGTAGTTCTCAAGCTGTAAAAGAGAAAGGGTTGTAGCTGTGGTATTTTTGCTTGTTTAGGCATTCTGGTGACATCAGGGTGGATAGCTGGCATTCTTGCTAAAAGGGGAAATTTCAACCTTTTCAGGGGGAGCCCAAGTCTCAGCTGACCCTGTGATTGTGGGTGTAGTGACCTGACCATCTGCGTAGCCCTTTCCAGCCACAGAGTCCCAGTGTTTTTCCAAGTATCACAGCCTGCTGTCATGAGCTGGAGCAGGCTCTGCCTGTCTCCATCTGTGTTGAGATTGCAGTGGACAGGACATCTGTGGTAGAGATGTAATGACAGCTCCAAATGAACCCCTAAAAGAACAAAGCACACCGCAGGGAAATGCCAGGTCCTACTTGTATATTATAATTTACATGTGAGTCCTTCCTGGAAGAGATCCTACCATATCCTATCCTACCTCTCCTGGATTTTTCCTATCTCACAGTTTCATCAATATTATTTTTTATGTGTTAGACCCCCACAAAGAGTTTCACAAACTCAGCAGTGGGCATGGCTTAGTTTAGCTGTGACCAATAAATTGTAAAGGAATGAAGACACTGTCAATGGCAATAAAAGAAGGAAGTTCTTGACCAAAACACATAGAAAGCTGTTTTGTTCCTTTGATTTTTTTTTCCTTTTTTGATGAATTAGGACCTTCTTAATAAATTGGGCACCCTAGAGAGAGGGGCACTTTTTGTTTCAATCCATTTTAGTTAACATAGGCAGGGTCATTCCCCTTCTAGCTACCTACATCCTTGCCCAGCAACAGCACACTAGAAACTCAGGAGTAGTCTACAATTTAATGAGATTGTTTCTTTCTTATACAAGCAGTGTTTTGGAATCTTGCTTGATGTGCTCAATAAAGTATTAACAGAAGAAAGGTGGCCCAGAACATCCCAGAACATGTTTTTTCAATACCTTCCACTGAAATCAGTTGGAGTCCAGCCAGTGAAGGACACCCAGTGAAGATCTGGTCCTCAGTTTCTTTCTGTGGCTTATCATGTTTTTTACAGTTAGCCAGTTCCAGACTTAAGCAACCACTGTTTTACCTAATCATGTCAATCACATTGGACCCATTTCTGCAGCAGTAAGCATATTTCATTGTGAAAAGTGAGCTGTGCAACTATATAGTATGAACCAGATGGAGTTTATTTAAAGGCTAAAGAAAGAAGCAGGAGTCAGATATACAGTATGATTAATAAAAAGGGCTGCTTTCATCTTATTTATAAACATACTTGTGCTTAGGCATAACTACTGTTAGATGTTCTGATGAGCCACATCAGCTGAGCTCACAAAGGATTTATCAAAATTTAGTCACTTATGTACACCTCCTACTAGTTTTATAAACACTTTGACAGAGAAAGAACACTGCCAAAGTGTAAATATTTTTGGCATAAACAGTTGTTAGTGTTTTGTTTGTTTGCTTGCTTACATCAGTTTGAAGAAGCACTTAATACCCATGTTGGTCAAAACCAAAGTGGATTTCTTACAGTTTCAGACAACAGAAATATTTGCTTAAATTGCCAGGTAACCACTCTGGGCTGGAAACCTGCAGAGTGTTTTAAGTGGTGGGGAAAATTTATTCTTGAATACTCTGATAAGTCTTAAAATGAGATTTAACAGCCAAGCAAAACTGCATTGCAAAACAATGTCTACAGAGGATGTCACCATTTTCCACTCCCAGTATAAGTTCACTGCTCTGTTTTAGTCTGTTACTGTGAGATAAGTGTTACAAATATTATGCTAGTTCAAGGGAGATTTTACAGATCCATCACATTTCTATGCCATGCTTTTATGTTCAGAAGTATTTTGCCTGTATATCTCTTTCACATCCAATAATGTATTTTTAGCAACCCTTTGCTCCTTGTTTTCTAACCATTTTCCTTTTTTATCCCCCAAAGTATCCTTTGGTTGCAAATAATCACTATGAAAGAGCCCCACAAATGGGATGCTCCATATTCTCTATATTCTCATCCAGATACTGGAACATCTGAACAAGAAGTTCAAATTTCTCCCACAGCTTTCACCTCCTAATGAAACACAGGACTCTCAAGACATAGTACTGCCCACGATGGAGTACCAACACTCACATTTCTCTCATCCAATGTGTTTTGTTTCCAGATAGGAACATAGCATGTATGTGATGTGATTGTACAGTGCTTGATTTGTTAGTCCACAGCTTTCTGAGACTGCCTTGTTTAACATGGGCCACATGGTACATGTGCGTACTGGATGTCTGGGAAAACCGTAAAAAAATATGGTAGATACACTTACTATACATCAGAAATCAGAAATTAGATATTTTCACACATCAACAAAAACACAGATAGGAATATAAATATAAATAGACAAAAAATTACATTTCTTACTGGGTTTTTTTCCCTGTTGCTTTACTCACATTACAGAAAGGATTGTGTTTAAAAGATCTAATTGTGTCTGTGTGAAGCTACAGCAGGTTTTGACTAGCAAGAACACAGGTGCTGATTGAGGCATATTGGACAACTTGTACTTTTAATTATTGTAGGCTAACACACTCCCCATAGTATCCATTCTTGGGCAACTGCCCTTGGTTACTCACTCCTAAAACAGCCTCTGATTGAATCTGAGACTGACTCATTATAACAACAAAGCTGATTTTCCCATTTCGGAATTACTCATTAAATGCTTTTGTAAATATTTGGTGTTCCGTACACTGCCACAATAGTTTCTGCGAGCACATCTCAGGAGCATCAGGAGCTATTCACTCAGGCCAAGGAAGGTAGAACAAGGACTGAAATACTGTAGAGGTTCTGTTACATTAATTCCCCTTCTTTCCTTCACCCACTTCTTTTAGTTTGCTCAGGAGATTTACTGGTTGCAATACTGACTCTGCCAAAATCAATGGCAAAATCCCTATTGACTTGAATAGGCCAAGATTTCACTTATTATTTTTATTGCAGGAAACCAACATTTACCAGGTTCATTACAGCCAAGCAGCAAGTTTTATCTGAAACCTTCCCTTCTTCGGAGACATTGTATTAAGTGTACTGAACCTTAGGCTGAGCTTTCTTTGTGGTTAGTTAAGAGGAATAGCATTTAACAGGTGATAAAAGTATCCTTGCAGGGTGGCCTCACAGAAAATATGACACACAGAAACCTATTCATGAAGTAAATTCAAGAACAGTTAGGGGTTGAAGTCATCTTTTAGAACCCTTTCTTCCTATAGTTAATTCAATTTATCCGGAGACTCTGTGTTAAACACTAAATGTATAATACATGGTGAAATACTCTTTTCAGTGCATCTACATTTTGCATTTGGATTTTCAAATCCATACATTACTGTTTCTTCTTATTTTAGATACCTTTTTTTTCAAAAATGAAACAGAATTCTTTTCTGTATTCTTTTTCCCTCATTCCACCCCTCCCACTATGTGGTTTTCTATAGTACATTGATGCCCATTCTCTTAATTTGGCTGCATCTGCTTTCAGTAAGACCCATTACATTGCACAGGAGTTTTCAGTAATGCAGGCTTACTGGTGGGATGCATAATAACATTGTAACTTTTGCAGAAATAAAACTGTCAGAATGTTCAGTATTATTGTTTAATAAACATTCCAGATGATTATGCATTAAAAGTATCTAGCTTTTTCTGGACAATGTTTATTGACTAATCTTCATAGAAACCACCCAAACACTAACAGAGCTATTAAAATGAAAACTGTAACTTAGGGTTTAAGTAAATGATAATGGTTTGTGGCAGATGGCTTATAAATAAAATAAGAGCTTTTTCTTTTACTTTGATCAAACAATGTTAGTCCCATGTAATTTTATGTTAAGGACTGCTATGATATCCAGATGACATGAGGTTTTTATACAGTGCAAGTTAAAGCAACAACAGACTGCTCTCCCTCTCATACCATATATTGCACATCATTTGGAATAATAGAAAGACAATGCAGAAGTGATATTCTGTAAGAGCTTTTTTGTCGTCTGTCTTGCTTTGCATACCTAAAGATGTACTAATAATACTATAGCACAAGAATCATTGGAACTCCAATTCTTTCTCTGTTTTTCAGTCTGAGGGAGGGTCATACTTCCCCACACTGACAAAATGCCTTGGGAAGTCGGATATAAAAGTGATATTTGATGTAATTTGTATTTTAGAAATACATAGACAGCCTTAGTGGGAATAAGCTGGAAGAAGTTGAAATATAAAGAGTGCAATAGAATTTCTTTGACTTTTGCAGAAGTAGAAAGGTTTTAGGAAGGAGTTTATCACTGAGAAAAACAATTTTATTTGTGTATTGAAAAGGCTGAAATTACTTTTATTAAAAAACCAACCAGCCAACCAAACAAAAACCCATATCTTCTAAGAGCTATCTGTGAATCAGAAAAGATTGATAAAATGACAAATTTGCAATGATATAGCCTTCTTGTGTTACAAATCCAAGAAGTGGAGACAAATTATAATATACCCTTCCACTATTTCTGACTGTTTGTGACCAGGGACAATCAGGGTAAAACAAACATGGATGGCACATAAAGACAATGAATAATGCTCAGGTGAAATGATGACATGCTAATCTGCACCTGATGTGGAACAGCCTTACCTGGGCTTCAAGCATGTCAAAGAAAATTCATATCAGACAAAAAAAATGTAGATGAACAATGTAGATATACTATCATATAAACAAAGAGGATGACCACCTTCTAAATTTATCCTTAATTAGTTAATAAGATTGCAATATAAATTTCACCAAAGGAGAAAAGAAGTGATCTATTTGAGGAAGAATTTTCTCAGATCTTAGGTACCTTGAGATGACACAAGGGTGCATACTGATCATTTCAGTGAATTTATGAAATCAACCTTGCTGAGCTAAAATGAAAGATTCTAATAATTGGTACACAAACTGGACTCCAGGAAAAGCCTTTTTGTATGTAATATATGAAGCTTTCACAAAGAAGTTGGTTATGAAATATACGTAAACGTGCATTCTCAGCACACACTG